TCACTGCGTTTAAACATGAAAATGGTAAATTCAAGATTAATTAATGAAAACATCCTGTAACTCCTTTGATTGCCAACGTAACCAATTGTCATTGAAAACTGAAAAGCTTCAAGACATATTATACGACTTCGCAATTGAAAAAATCTCTTCATGTTGAAAACGGGAGCAGAATCGGTCCCGAAACGTCCAAAGATAAGTGAAAATTTGATATTTTTTCTATATACCTTTATTTCTCTTCTCCAAAAATTTTTCAATACAAATTGTCACTGACAAGCTAGTGAATTTTTCTTTTAGGCTCTCTGATAGGAAAATTCTTTAAACGCAGTGACATTTTGGGGCAAATCATCTGATTTGTCCTTACTACACGTATATTGAAATAATATTCATATTTTTATTTTATAGAAACGAGGAGAGAAAATCCCAAAAAATTTGGAATAATGCATATTATAATTCTCCATTCCGATAATTCGAAATATTCTTTCGAAAACATATACGTGCCGTAACATTCTTCTGGAACAAAGTTTTATCTATGTTAGCATCTAGCAACTAGATGCGCTAAATACTGCTCAGTGAAATGTGCTTAGATCAGAGCCTATGACAGACGTGTGTGAAGACTGGCTCATACAGTGTTCGGCAGGCAGCCAAGTTAAGAGCAAGTGTAACCCTTGTCCATGTCATTTGTGCTCGTGTTTATTGAATTATGATCATAATATAACATCAGATGTTCGAATTCACATTTATTTGAGAATGGGAGAAGGAAAAAAACTCAAAACTTCAACTCAACAATTGAAAAGAAACGAAATAGATGAAGTCAAAAGTACGCAGCACGATTTTGAGCAACTATACTTGCTGAGCTACTGCTATCTGATTATTAATTTTCTACTCCTTTTTAGTTCGCTTGAATCTCCCAATTTCGACGAATGATTCATAATCTCCGACCCCGAAAACCCCAGATAAAATTGTTGAATAGAATTAGATCATGATTATAAAACTCCTCCGGCATATTGGATCTATCATAAAAATTGGTCCAGCCTTTCTTATATGTATGGGAGATATTGTCACAACAAAATGGTTGTGTTTCCACCCACATTGATTTATAAGGGGTAATGCTTGGCTTAATATTTTGCGAGAGGTAATATTCAAATAGGCACTAATAGTTTTAGGGGTAACTGAAAGTACGAGACTACATTCAAACATAGCAATATTTATAATAGCATGAAACATCATGGGTGAAGTGATTATAAATATGAATAAACAACAATGAATATAAAGACCTAATAACAACTTACATTATAATAACCATTACGACGAGCTCTTGTCAAGTCAAGAGTAGCCCCAGACCAGACTAACTTCGGAACCCTCAGATCCAATATTTATATACATCATTTTATTAGAAATGCACGTTTCTCATGAGACTTCCTTGGTCAGTTTTTATAATTCAATGTCAACGGATGATTTGATTTACTTTATGTTTATAAAACCCTCATGGTTAGAAATTACTGATATACCGTATGTTCTACTCGTGACAATATCCTTCAGATATTTTGCTATTCAGTAACTTGTAGGTGACGTGAGATGACGATGACGCGAAATTCAATGTTTATCAGTGGGGTCTATACAATGCTGAAGGCGCCTAAAGAAGTATTCAGTTCAAAAATAGAAAATATTGATTCTTTTGTAATAGATAATAATAATAATTGTAATAGCGAGAATGATAGTGACGAGCACAGACATCATTATCTTCGATTGTTCAACCTTATCAATTTGTCGTGTTGGTTTTCTTGGTGGTTTTATACAGAATGTTTCAGAAATAGAGTGAGAAGAGCTGGGTAGATTCCGCTAAAGCAGAATACGAGGCAAAATATATATAAAAGTTCATATGAAATGGGTCTGAAATTGCTACACACCCTGTATTTGATGAGATTTTGTGACTAACCTCAAATATTGAAAAATAAAAACATGCAATACGACTCTATAACTTGGCCTGCTAGCTTTTCTTACGAGTTTTTCTATAACCACGGCCTATAGTCTGCCACCCTGTATAGACACAACGTGAACCGTCATGCTTTATTTAATGTCATTTATGTAATCATTCCAAATCTGTCTTATTATGTATTCATAAAAACGCCATGAAAATGTAATAGAAATAAATAATGAAATTGTTTATTCATTTCCCAAGGTTTCCCGATATTTCGAATTCAAAGCCTCCCAACCATAATATCCTAATAATCATTGAAAAGCAATTCGTCGTAGTATATGGATGAGTCATCAACATGGTGTTATTAACCAATAGTGTGCATTACTGAATATAATTTTGTGACTAATAATAATGATTATCTCATCGGTTGACAACTGAGCTTGTTTTCGCCATTCTATTATTGATAACATGTTAGGAAAAAGTATTTGCATCGGGACATTGTATTATTCATATTATCTCTCCCAATTCTCTAGATCCTTGGGGGTTTTCCTCCATTCCTCCTCTCTATAGATACAAATATTATAGTAGTAAGAGAACAAATCTGCGAAAGCGACAGAGGACACACAATTATAATACATTATTGAATTCCAATATATTAGACAAAGAATCAATGTGGAAAAAATCCAATATATTGGAGAAAGATCGAATATTTTGGGAGAAGAATACAAAATGATTTTGCAGGAAGATATGATATCGTTGATTTCTCGAACTGTTTCGAAAAACAAGTTCCTGAACTCATCAATGGGCTTATATCACAAAAAAATTTTATTTCATAATTCGATAGAACTCACCCAAACTAGCTCACCACCGCAAACCGTTTCTTGCTGTGAGCTCCCTACGTTTTATAAAAAATTATTGAAATCCCCGATTTTTTGGACCTCTGAAAACGAGGCGATGATGTGACGTCAAAACCCTAGTACTGAAACAAGACTATTCCAGACATGATTTCTGACAGAGTGAATTAGCGCGAGATCACATCATAGTTGCCTCAGTCTCCGTCAGGCGTTTGGTATTTTCTTTGAACTATGGCGAGATGAGGTTTCTACGTCATAAGAGGGTCCGTTTTCAGAAGGTACTATTATTTATGTCCAAAATAAAACATTCCAGTTAATTTTTCGATCGAAATATGTCGTCAATCATTATTTATGTATAAAATGATCACTATAAACATGGTTTGAGTTAAAAGTTCTACTAAGGTGTACACGCCCATTGAGTTTTTAGAAGTGTCACTTCATACGCACAATGATTCATGTACATAATAGAGATCCTTTTTCGTGCGCTCCAAGTCATTTAAAAAATTCTTCCGTTGAGAATGTCTCACTTGATGAAAAATTCAATCTGGCAACCCTAATGATAGGAAGTGAAAATTAAAAACGTTCTAACTTGGTAGGTATATCATATCCAAACCACAAAATTGCTGCTTAGTAAAGTAACTTCCCAATAAAGTGTGTCATAGTCAGGCACCATGATAGGAATTAGTCATCCACTTTGTTTCAGGACATATTGTATTGCTCTCGCTTTCGAATTGCCCAACAAAATTGAGGTACTGGTACAATTTATTATGTCACATCTATGATGATATAACTCGTCATTTTGTTGAAAAAAAAAATGTATATCAGTTGAATATGCTTCCATGAATAATCGAATGAAATACTCATATTTGATCGAGATACATAATTTTTTCTCCGATTGGCAGCAAATATTAATTTTGCTGACACATATCAATCAGCAAAGTATTACTTTTCCTGCCTATGCAGCAAAGTGGTTACTTTGCTGATTGATATGTATCAGCAAAATTAATAATCCATAAATCGTTTATAATTTCCTTCATATTTCATTCGAGACTTCTCCGGCAATAAATTCAACTCTATATTTTTTGCCACCTCCCTTATTTCTGGAGGTGTAAGTATTTCCAGGTCGCTATCACTGTCCATTATATAATAATTCAAATATACCGATATTTTTTCACACAACTGTCAGAATTTTCATGAATTGTCAAACTAAAATTATCATGGACAACTGCGATTTCTATCAAATTTCATTTTAATTGAACACTACAGGAAAAATAAAGAGATTGTGGGAATTGTAATAATTTGCAATTACAATATCCTCCTATATCATTATGAACAATCGGAGAAAAAATTATATGTTCAACTCGGCAGCAAGGCAGATTGACTGCCTTAGCTGGATTCCTAGCCTCGCTACGCTCGGCTATGAATTCAGCCTCAGCAGTCAATCTACTACTTTGCTGCCTAGTTAAACAAATAACTATTGGATGCACTGAATCACGTACTATAGGTACTACTAGCATTTTTATATGTAAAAAATAAAATTCTACCGAAATCATGACATTAAATTATTCCGCGTTCCCAACATCAACATACGGTATAATATGATATGGGTTTGATAAATTCTTCTGAAATACAATATATTGATGAGTAACCTCATATTTCCACTCCCATTTATGTGCTATGATTCATTGGTGTGCCCATAGCTTCACGTGATTTTGAAATAAATAAATATATTATACTTCAATGTGATATCTAGCGAATATCACCAAAAAATTAGATTTATCCTATTCCAAAGTCTTAATTACCGAGAAATTGCATATTGAAAATAAACAACAAAAAATCAAAAAGAATCGCGGGTAACTATGTCTCAAATTTTATCTTGATCACTTAATTTCATCAGTAGTTTCATTTCTTCAGATTCAATTATCTTTTTAAAAACGATCAGTTTCATGGTTTTGCTAACAGTGAAATTTCTTGTAGTATGATAAACAATTGGAGATTTCGAGTTTCCTCTATCACCTATAGCACTGTCGATCTCATTCTCCAGATTCGAATCCAAGTCATGCATGTATATCATTATTTCTTGAAATTTTTGGGATTTTCTCACTTTGTCTCTATGAACATAGATTAACGATGCTATGAATGAAAATATTAGTATTATTTCAATATATACTTGTAGCTATTTTATTATTGTTACCATTATTTTTATTGTTATATTTTTATTTTCGCAGGAAATGGTTCAAGCAAAGGACCCTCCTTCCTATTATTTAAATAAATTACGCACATATCTGGATCCTAAGGCATCTAGGAGTCATAGGGTAAGTTCTCTACAGAATTGTTTTTATACAGAGTGATTCAGTGACAAGTACCATGAATTGAAGTGATTGTAGACAAAGCTGAATTATTATGAAGAAAGTTAAAATTACTTTCCCTGATAATGTTTCAGTAATATACAGGGTGAATCTGAAAGTGGGGTTTTTTATTTAATATATCTCGCCAAAATAAGTTGTTTGGCCTAATGCTTCATTTCCCTCCTAAAGTTTTTTGGTTCACTTCGAAACGATAATTAATCGGTTGAAAATTTTGGACTAATAACGGCTTTTTTCGTTTTTTTTTGAGAAAATGTAAACACAATGTTTCATCTACGAAATAGCCTTAATGCTTAAAGTGGAATCATTTGTCGAATAAATACATAAAGATCAAAGTAATTTCCACAAAATGTTCATAAAATTTACATCAATGGTAGATTTAGGGAGAAAAACAACTACTTTCTTTGCTAATGCCACGCATAACATTGAATTACATCCTCTCGAAATCTGTGCATCGACTCGTATATACGAATACTGATACTAGTGATTCTTTCCTGAATGCCTATTGATTTCGATTTAGCCAGGTCCCGCTAGACACCTACAGGCCGGTTTCAAGCTCTTTGACTCTCATCAGTGTAGGGCAGTCTCCAGTCAGCAGTCCTAAGACCGCCGACTAAGTGTAGCCTAGCTAAACAAAAATCAAGTCGGCATTATATTCCCTCAGAGGTGTCCTCCATAGCACAATATGAGAGCATCTGAGCCATCTGAGTAGAAAAGAAGGAAAGAAATGATGTATGATGTATATATCGATATGTATCGAAATTTTTTTGATGATATCGGTACATATCGGTATATCGATATTTTTGCACAGTCCTGGTGTGGCATCACCCACCAGCCCAATGGCTCCTCTCTGGATGAAATCTAAGAACATCAGCGTATGATTGGGTGCTGAACCCCATATGTGGGAACAGTATTCTAAAACAGGCCGTATCTGTGCTTTGTAGATCATGAAGAGCTGTTGAGGAGTAATAGTAGATTCTCGCATGGATAAAAATCCGAGTTTTTGTGGAGCAGCTTTCGCGATGGATCTGACATGATTTTCCTATAAGAGAGTATTGCTGGCTGATGGAATTACCGAGCATAGATATAGTGGAGTTTGGAAAAATAGGCATACTGAGTTCCGTTTTTTTTTTAGGAGAAAATGCAGGATTGAGTTTTGGTGACATTGAATTCTACTAGGTTTTTGGTTTCCCAGGCTGTAATAAATACTTTATCATCTTCTCCGCCCTGTAACTTGTTTCTGGATTAATAAGTGATTCGAGAATTTAAGAAGACTCAAGACGAAGTTGTTTTTCAGAAGCATCTCAAGTTGAAGGGCGCATCTATGGAGAATCCACCTTGTACAGGGTGTCCCACTTGAAGGTGTCTCCTCGCCTTATTCTCGTAGTTCTAAACATATTCTCGTCATTCAAAAACTCTATGGAGAATCCACCTTGTACAGGGTGTCCCACTTGAAGGTGTCTCCTCGCCTTATTCTCGTAGTTCTAAACATATTCTCGTCATTCAAAAACTTTTCTGGAATAATTTTTTCGATTTTTCTTCATCTGACCTCACTTTTTCTCTGTTAACTAAGTATAGGGTGGCTCAAGACAAAAAAATGTTTCCTCAAATGAAATGACATATATTATTTTTCATAATTTGATGGAGCTCGTCAATCTGAATTCAAAGATATATATCATTTCTATATTATTATCACGCATAACATCATAGCTGGTGATAAACCTAAGGGAATACAGTAATTGCTTTTCTCAAGCTAGTTTTGTCTAATGAATCATGATTGCTACTCTCTTGTCATGGTATGACAAGTTCATTTACAAGCTGTCAGATTTAATTCAAAAATGAGACACTCACTGGAAGAAAGATGCGATATACTGGAAGTTTCCCACCGGTGTAATGGAAATTCAACTGCTGCTAGACGACTTTACACCCAAATGTATAGAAAGAGGACTCGACAACCAACAATAGCTACGGAAGAGAAGCAATTGGTTCAACAGAATACTAGAAATTCAATTCGATCAGCTGCGAATACTTTGGAGGTCTCGAAAAGCTCAGTAGGAAGAATTTCGAAGATGAATTATCTGAAACCATTCAAATTCCTACCTGTTCAGCAACTATTTCCAAGAGATCGAGAAAACAGGCTCGAGTTTTGCCGAACCATGCTTGAAATGCATAATCTGGACAATAATTTCTTGAGAAACATATTATGGACCGATGAATCTTCTTCTTCATCCTCGGGACTTTTCAATCGACGAAATTCTCATATGTGGGCAGCAGAAAACCCCAAAGCAGTGAGAGAAAAAAGAAACAGAACATTCTACGGAATGAAGTAGTTGGTCCTGTTTTTATCGAGGGTACCCTCACAGGACAAAATTATTTTCTACTGCTGCAAGGCGAAATTGAAATTTCTATCGATAATCTACCCATTATCAGCATAACACATGGCTCGGAAGAAATAGAACGATTCCATGGCCAGCCCGCAGTCCGGACCTCAATCCACTTGATTTCTTCCTTTGGCGGGCTTTGAAGCAAAAAATGTACGATCAGGATATTGATAATAGGGAAAACCTTCAGGAGTTACTTATAGAACAAATAAATATTTTGAATCATTCCAATTTCTATGAGAATATCGAGGAAAATCTCACCAAAAGATGCAATATTTGCATCCAAAATAATGAAGGATATATAGACCACATATTAATTATATTTTTCTTCATTCGATAATAATATATGAATTATATATATTTTTGAATTCAGATTGACGAGCTCCATCGAATTATGGAAAAAAATATAGAACATCTCATTTGAAAAAAAAAATTCTGAGCCACCCTGTATTTTGTTGAAAGAAAGGCAAAAGTAAGCACATAATAATAATAATAATAATAATTTATTCACCGCAAAAAATATTAACAATCATATAATCAATACATATTATTAGATTTTTGATGAAATATTCAAATGTTCATTTCACCATAAATGTAAAACAGTTTATGTATCAGATATACAATGATAATTCCATAATACATAAAAAAAAACAAGATTTACAGGTAGAATAAATTCAGAAAACAACTAAAGGTTAGACCTTGAAAGTTCAAAGAATTTGTAAAAAATATTCCAGAAAAGTTCTTGAATGACCAAAATATGTTGAGAATTACGAGAGTAAAGGGGGTGCCACATTTAAGTGGGATACCCTGTACGTCACTGTCTAGCAGGAAATAATGTCTTCGAAGCTGTTTCACAACAGATTATGCGTACTCACGTAGCTGTGTCCCCTAAACGATAATTACAATGGGCATTGATGAGGGATGTTTAACAAGTACGGAACAATATACAGCCCCCTATCCCTTCTCTGAAAACGTTTTGTGTTGTAAAAATTAGGTGGGTAGGAGGGTGGTAGTCCATATAGGATTAAAACGGATCATATTATTGGGGTCATAATAAAGAATAACAGATTGATTTTAGTGTCTGCGATAATTTTTTTTTACTTACCTACTGTATCGACAGTGAGCGTTTGTGCCCTCATTTCAGGAAAAAATTGCCAATTTACTGTCAAGAGAAGAAAAATAGCTTCAGCATGCTTTCATGGCGTCGATAAGAACCATGCAATCGAAGTAGTCAGTGTATTCAGCATTATAATTGCCCATAATAATTCCAATCGTACTCAATCAAGACTTCCAAATACAATTACACAATATTAATAATTATTTACTAAGGTATAGGAGGAAAATCAGGAAGCTACCCAGATAACACAGGATATCCTATGGATATCCTTCTCAAGTCCATTTCAGGTCGGGATATCCTGGGACATGAAATGGATATCCATAGGATATCCGTCAGAGGATATCAAATGGATATTCTGATGCGGATCACCTATGGACGTCCATAAGATGTTCGTTTAGCGAACAAAAATTGTTAATTGAGAATGGTTCGAAACAATACGAATCATCACAAATATCACATGCAAATCACATGTTTATTAGAAATTCAAAGGTAGTTTTCCATCATATAACTATTGTTATGTAGGTATAATATGTTTATAGCCACAATTAAGATATTCGATGCAAATATGAATTCATATAAATAACAACACCACAGTTTGGAATTTTTCTCTGTTGTTCAATGTTCTCGTACAAAAATATACAATCACTCGAAAATTGCTCTCATATATTTACTTTTTTGTGGTCTTCAGATGGACATCCATGAGATATTCATCCATGGATTTATAGCGGATATCCATCAGAAGATATCTTATGGATAGCCATAAGATATCCAAAGAAAACATAAAATCATATTTATGTCAAAATAACTTTTGTTCTTCAACATTTTCGCACAAAAATATGATTTTTCAGAAATAACTTGTATCTCCATTTTTTTCCTTGGGATTGAGATGGAGATCCATAAGAAGATATATTCGCATCCCTGAATTCAAAACTGGGTAGGTATTTTCCCAATGGATAGTAATAAAATATTCTGAAGCAATAAAATATAAATCAATATGGCATTCGCGTGAATGACAAATTTTCCAAAAGAAAGATGGAAAAATCTAAGTGAATCTAATTCTTGAATTCACCTTAACAGCATTTCGGAAAATAGCTTCATTGTTGCGCTAGGGATAACGCGATTCAAATCCGGCCACCTCGCCTCCTCTATTTATCTCTCAAAAGATTGAATTCAATTCGAATTAACCTCCATGGCTAGAATCGTTCTGATTGGTCTAAAAATGCATCCATGTCGAAAGTCATGGTAAATTGAATTCTTTCATGAGGTATGAGCTAAAGCTTCTTAACCTAACTTTGTTAGTTTTATAGTTTTTCTCATATGGTTTTTCTTCATCTTTCCATAATCGGTTAAGGATTATCATAACGAATTCAACGATACTGTGTTTGATAGGATTTCTACAAACGATTAGGAAGATATTCACATTTCCATATCCTCAATGAGCATATGAAAAC